CACACACACACACACACACAGCGTATATCGCGATGCACATGCAAGCTCACGCGCACATGTCTGCGGGGCGTCTTGTTGTGTTTACGGGTCTCGGACGGAGATTTTTCGACAGCGCATATTACCGAGATAAAATTCGAAACCAGCCACATGGCCACTCGCAATAAAAGCTCGCAAGTGTTTTAAAATTCTCGATGTTTGTCATTTGGCGCGCAGCGTCATTAGCTTTACGACGAGTAACATCCTGATTATAAATAAACGAAGCCCCGAAACTCTTTGCCGCGTTGGCGAATTACGCGCTAAATCTCGGCCGACGACTGCTATATAATAGATAATATAATCATTGCTATAGAATATTTCGATATAATAAAGAATATAATTTCTATAAAATATTTCTATATAATAGAGAATATAATTTCTATATAATATCTCTGTATAATAGACAATATAATTGCTACCTATAATAATTCTATATAATAATAGCGAATCTGTGTCGAGGCTGATTCGCTGAACGCTATACTAATATAAATTACAAGCACACGCAGCCGGGCGTTTTACACGAGTAACTTGTTTAATAACGGAAGTTACTGATTATAGCCGCGGCTTGGGTTTTTGCTAGGCTTCAATTTTCCTTCCGGAACAGTTTGCGTGAAATATCGAGCATTTAATGAGAGGCAGTGAGAGAGGTGGCGAAGGGGGAAGAGAGGGAGAGAGCGCAAAATAGGGAGAGCGGAAGAGAGAGAGGACGAGAGAGAGCGAGAGAGGGGCGGGCGACAGACAGAAAGCGGGAGAAAGAGAAAGCACGCGCGAGAGACACAGAGCGAGAAAGAGAGAAAGAAAGAAAGAAAGGGAGAGGAGGAGAACAGAGAAAGGAAAGAGACAGAAGAGAAGCAAAGCGACGGGAGAGATAGAAGAGAAGAGATGCTTGCAATAGAACACCACGCACAAAACTCAGCCAGCCGTTGCCGCCAATCAAAGAAGTTGGCCTAAACGAGGCATATAACCAAAGACTAGTTTTAACGAAAGAAAAAAAAACCAATGTTTCGTCAGGCTATCATCGAACGATTACAGCCACCATTAGTGTCGTCTACGTCTATCCCGCGGGACTGCTTCCGTTGCTTGCCTTAACTCTACGGCCCGCCTTGGCCGCTAGCCATAACTAAACCCCGTCCATCGGTGAGAAGCGGGTTTATTTTTGACAACAAGATTCTCGCTTTTCTCCGCGCGCGCACACGGGGGGGGGTCGTGCTCGCGTGGTTATTCCGCGAACGTGTCCGGGTTGATGATGCGGACGAGATTCAAATGTCGGTCACGTTTCTGCCTCACGCGCCTGGACGACACCGATATGTCGATGACGCGAGGGGTCTATAGCCGCAGGGGCCCGTGCGTGCGAGAAAGTGCGTGTGTGCGTGCGTGCACGTGTGTGTGTGTGTGTGTGTGTGTGGTGGTGTGTTGTGTGTGTGGCGTGCGTGGTGCGGAGAGTGCGGTGGCGTGCGCGCACGTGTGGTTGCTGGCGTGTGAGCGAAGGGTTGCGTGCGCTGCGTACGTCGTGCGTGTGTACGTGCGTGCGTACGTGCGTGCGTACGTACGTGGCGTGCGTGCCGTGCGTACGGTGCGCGCCGTGTGTGTGCGAGAGATGCGTCGGTAGCGTGCGTGGAGAGTGCGTGGTGCGTGCTGCTTGCATGCGGAGAGTTGTGGGCGAGAGACTGAGTCGTGCGTGCGTAGTCGGCGCGGTGTGAGAGTGGGTGCGTGCATGCGTGCGTGACGTGTGAGAGAGTGCGTGCGGGCGTGCGTGTGACGTGCGTGTCGTGTCAGCCTGCGGGGATGAATAAGAAATAGTGACATCATACACAAGGTTTTGTTAGGGTGACCTTACCAGCGCCGATACCCGTGATCCCCCCCCCCCTTTCTCTCTCATCTCTCATCTCTCCTCTTCTCCATCTCTCCTTCTCTCATCACATCTCTCTCGCCTCTCTTCTAAATCCTCTCTCTCTGCTCCTCCTCCTCTCCCCTCCTCTTCTCGTCACTCTTTCTTCTTTCTCTTTTCGCGTCTGTCATTCTCTCTCTCTTCTCTCTGTGCCCCCTCTCTCTTTCTCTCTCTTTCTTCCTTTTCTCCTTCCCCCACACCTACCTCTTCCTTATCTTCTTCTTTTCTCTGTCTCTCTTCTCTCTCATTCTCTCTCAATTTTCTCTCTTCTCTGTCTCTCTTCACATCTCCTCTCTCTCGCCTCCGCCTCCGCCTCTCCTCCCACTCCCCCCCTCTTTTTTTTTTTCTCTCCTCTCTCTCTCTCTCTCCCCTCCCCTCCCCCATTTCTCTCCCCCCCCTCTCTCTCTTCTGCTCCCCTGCTTGCTAATTCATGACCGCGCTCTCTCTCGTTCTCAGCCGCGCGCAACACTCTACACCGCGCTCTCTCCCTTCCCTCTTACCGTTACCCGGCTTCCCTTCTAATTTCCCCTGATCGTGCAATGCTCTCATCACTATACACCCGCAATCATAAACGAGTATACGTGCAATAGTTATATAACCCGTTATTTTCTCGTAGCCGTAATGCCTCGTCGTTTATCACCCCTACACCACTTAGATGTTTAATGATTTAACGTTCATTCCCTAACGCTATATAATAATCGTTTATAAGAGCATCAAATATAATAATCTTGTACGCTGCCGAAACACACACACACAACCGCCACAGACTTATGATGACGGAAGGACCCATACTCTATAAAAGTCATAAAAGTTATCCGATCGCTTCAAACAAAGTACTGCCGAGGAAGATACACGCGTAATATACTCATACGCTTGCATGGTCGACCCACCGAGTTCCCAGTAACGAAACTATAGACGGCTTCTACACTTAGCTTACTGGTGCTCGCGAACGGCTGCGTACTGGCTGTGGGCTCAATTGATGAAGCCGAGTTAACAAACGGACATGGGGTCAGACTAAAGCAAGTGTTCGAGTGTCTGGATGTGACTCATCTGAATGGATCTTCCTTCACACGAGGCAGTCGGACGCGAAATTCGGGAAAATGTCACGAACCCCATTTCGGATTTTTGTTTCTGCGACGGACTCTTTCCGCTGGAACATGTACCGAGAAAACCAGTAATATTTGGTAAATGTATACGTACACCACGGTAGATGTGCGTTTACGCACGCGTTTATAGAACGTGCGTCGAATAACGGGAGTGGGATAAAGATTTTGACCGATGTGTGGTGAGTGATTACTGGACGCGTGTATTACTATGTACGTGTGTGTGTGTGTGCGCGCATTCCTATTCGTGTGTGTCTCTCTCTCTCTCTGTCTCTCTCTCTCTCTCTTTCTGTGTGCGTGCGTCATGCATTCGTCCCGTGGGCGGTGCGGTGGCGTGCGTGGCGGGCGTTTGCGGTGCGTGCGTGGCGTGCGTGCGGTGTATGAGGTGGTGTGGCGTGACGTGCGCAGCGCGCGGCTGTGTGTGTGTGCTGGCGCGCGTAGTGGCTGTGGAATAAAAAACAAGAATATACGAGCACATCAACACCCATAATGTATTAGTGTATACAGGTCATGTCAACTCTTCCACGCGCGCGCGACGCCTGGATGTGCCATGGCAGCACACACACGCGCGCAGCCGCAGCGACATGCACACACGCAACAGCGCACGCGCACACGCACACGTACACA